GCTTAAATGTATGAAGCTTTCCTTAGAGTACAGGATGAGACAGTCACCATTGATAGGTAAATGATCAGTACAGTTGTAAGCACCTGCTACTGACTGCCCAATCAAGAATAAAAAACAGACAAAACCTTCTTTAGAAAATTGAAGGAAGCCTTGCAATTGCAAACCCTGGTACTCACATAGGGCTTGGACTACTCTTGCATCTACATATTGCAGAGACAACATGGCAAGGTGAAGCAATCCAGGAGTTTTCTCCTGAGCATTGAGCAGAACCAGAAAAACAAGAAATGGAGGTTTATGGTAGTCATAAGGGAAGGACAACACTGAAGAGAAGCACAGTTTCCTGGGGAACCAGGTGGACAACAAGCTGTCTATGAACCAGCAGTGCCCTTGTAGCCAAGAACGCCAATGGTATCCTGGGATGCATGAAGAAGAATACTACCAGCAGGTCAGGGAGGTGATCCTGCCCCTCTGCTCAGCCCTGGTGAGGCCAGTCTGGAGTGCTGTGTCCAATTCAGGGATTCTCAGGGCAAGAGAGACAAGGAGCTCCTGGAGTGGGTCCAGCAGAGGGTGACAAAGATGATGAAGGGACTGGAACACCTCAGTTCTGAGGAAAGGCTGAGGGAGCTGGGCCTGTTCAGCCTGGAGAAGAGACACCGAGAGGGAACCTCATCATTATTTGTCACTGTCTGCAGGGAGGGGTCAGAGTATGGACCAGGCTCTGCCCAGCAGTGCTGGGCAATGGGACAAGAGGACACGGGCCGGAACTGAGGCTCAGGAAGTTCAACCTGAACATGAGGAAGAACTTTTTCCCTGTGCAGTGCCCAAGCACTGGGACAGACTGCCCAGAAAGGTTGTGGAGTCTCCCTCACTGGGGATAGTTAAGAACCATCTGGACACAATCCTGTGCCACCTACTCTGGGATGACCTTGTTTGAGCAGGAAGGCTGGATTAGATACTCCACTGTGGTCCCTTTCCAACCATGGTCCCTTCTGTGAATCTGTGTGTGATTCTTCTCTCCGGCATTAGATCACTCACCCAAAGTTTGGAAGTCTCAGGTTCAAAAAGCTTCCTCTCCTACAAGAGAGTTCCTGCATTCTCGCTTGACAGCAGAGTACCACAAACACCGTGTATTTAAGTTACAGGCAGAATGAGAGCAGACATATTGAAATCTCTCTCATTTAAGCTTTATAGCTGTGCACAAAGTTAAGATATATTCCCTAGAAAAGGGATGTTGGGAGACTCAGAACCCTGAAGAAGGCCCTGTTTACTGTGACTAAGTAATTTTTTCACTGTCTTTTGTCAGAAAACATAGGTCTTGAGCACCAAAAGATGTTACTAAGATTAATGAACCAGGAATACTTTGCGAATTTATCAATGACTATACACCCTTGAGAAATGAAAAATTTCAGGTCAAACATACTTTGCTGAAGACAGATGACAGATTTTAAGCAGAATTTGCCACCTTTTAAACAGAAAAGAGTGTAGCTTAGAGAAGCAGGGAGCAGCAGTAAAAAATCAGCATCTCCTCTAGCAGTTCTGGCAAGCTGCTGGGCTGTTCCTTGTTCAGGAACTTGTCCTTGCAAGTGTTTGAAACCAAAACACACAGAAAATATTAATTCTCCTTTGTCCACTAGCAGTCTGTCCTGTTTTTCATAATAGCGAGAGTCTCCCTTGCTAGCCAGGATGTTGGCTGTGATCCAAATACCGGAAATGCTGTTTGTAGCCAAAGAGCCTTCAGCCAGGCCCTAAGCAGCTCCCAGCACAATATGGACACCACATGGCTACATGACCAATGCACATCTGCTCTGCCTGTCCAAAGGAGTAACTATCAAAGCCTGACTTCTACACTCACAAAGAAACATCAAACAATGAGACTGTTGAGAACAGCTGAGCTTCCCTGATTGCCAACAGAGGGAAGAAAGGTTGCTGATGCTTCCTTACACACCTTCTGGTCCCAACTATCTTCTGTCTTTATTGAGCAATATAAGTTCCTACAGACTGTTGCACAGCAGACTTTGTAACATGTGGCAATGGGCAAGCAGTAGAGGGGTGAAACCATTCATATGAAAGCAAATCTGTGCCACAATAGCTTTTCTCCAAGGACTAGCATCTGTGCTAATATTAGCATCCCACGTAAGGGAGATCAGTTTTGTTTTCCTAGAAACACAGGATAAATTCAGATTCATTCAGATAAATGTGGATTTAGGTCAAGTGGGCCATAACTTGACAAATGCTGAGCTATCAAGCTCAACTGTCAAGTAGCCATCCTCTGTAGACATAGAAATCAAATCTATAACACTCATCAAAGGCTCAGGAGTGTAACAGCTCCCTATGTAAAAGTTGCTGGGATAGCCCTTGAAAGAAAGCCTGGGAAGCCAGAGTGGTAACAGCTGAGCATGGAGAAAAATAATGCCTAATGAAGATTATGCAGAGTTGAAATGATCCCACTTCAAAGTTTTAATCAATCTCTAGACAGTAAGAGGTAAGAGGTAAGTTAAAAAAACAAACAAACAAAAATGCAACAAATCCACAGAATCCTAAAGGCCTGGCTCATTATCTGTATTATTAAAAAGTCATTCAGAGTTTTTCTGAAAAGATAATAAGTAAGATTGTGGCTCTGAATTTCAGAGGATATGAAAACAGCTGGTACTTTTATGGTATTATTCATAAAGTATGACAATGTTTCTGAAACTGTAGGAAACTGCAGAGAACCTATGTGAGCAAAAAACATCTGTTAAAAACTGAATATGACTGAAAGCAAAATCCAGACATGCTTCCAAAAAAAGAGAGAGTCCCTTCCCTCACCTATCTTGTGTATTGTACCTGAGAACCAAACCACAGAAATACTAGGCTCAGGATGATTATATTATGAATCTGGAAAATGTATTCTTCATGCATAAAACAATGGAAAGAGAATGGAGAAAACATAATTTACTTTACTGGCTCGAAATAATGTCTTCAGTGAAACGAGTGATAAAGTTCTTATTAAAAAAACCACAAACACAAAACCACCACAAAATGCTTCATTTCTCTTGCCTTCATTTCACCCTTCACCTCCATCTCCTTCCAAATCCTCAGTTCATCATTTGGACAGCAACCACACTGGACTCAAAGTGGTATCAGGCAGCAGGGACACAAAAGGACCAAACAGCCCAATGACTACTGTATAATGTTAAAAGGCATCGAAGTGAGTATTTATGTGGTTTTTTGCTGTATCATTTCTGTCAAAAAGCCTGACCCCCTGAAGTGTGGTGTGGGAGAATGGGTACATTAGGTAAATGAGACTTTACCCTGTATGATCCTCCTATATATCCCAAAGGAATGGAGACTTTTCACCACTTTCAGGAGAGCACACTCCCACCCCTCAGGGGATGGCATGTCTCTTTTTAGGAAAAGATCATACATCATTCGTCCTTCTATGAGAGCCATCTGTGGCAAACAAGTAATGAACCACCAGACTGACCAGAATGAAAACAAATCTTCTCAGAGTCCTGCACTGTGACAAAGCCCCCCTCACCCACACCAACTCAAGCAGGACACAGCTTGCAAGACACAGCTGAAGATTCTTTTCCCTGGAAAAGGCTGGATGTAGAACTGTTTCTAAAAACAGAGCCTGGGAGCAAACTAAAAGTGAAGTAATTTTAAATTATAATGAGAAAGGAACAAAATAGTGGATTCCAAAGAAGAATTTGGAAAAATTAATTTCTTTAATTGTAAAGAAAGAACAGTGTTCAAATAATGCGACTTTAAATACAGACATAAACAATTATTTCATTAAGAAATGAAGAAATTTTGCAGAAAATCAAATGCCAGTTTCAATCCGTAATGGACTTGAATTCTGACTGCAGAATGAGGAAAGGAGTGGGGCTATATTTTGTAAAGGGCAATACAGAGAAGGGTTATCCCCAAATTAAAAAGCACTGACAAGGAAGTCCAGTAGTATGTAATGTGTGTCCTTCTAAGAATAAGATGCAGGCACAACCTTTGGAACTGCTCCCAACTACAGGGAAAAAGAAAACTGAAAAGACTTATGAAAGAAGAAGAAAAAAAAATAAAAATAAAAGTTCCCCAGCTATATTTGTCTACTAAAGACACAAAATCTGCTCACTGGCCTTTGCTTTCTTCCCACTCCCCAATCATACATTGCACTACAGAGTCTCTGTATTTAGCTAGCACATTATCAACATTTTCCAGAACAACAATTATCTTACAGGTGGAAAAGGTGTGCAGATCCAAAGCTGCAAGCCTAGAACGACAAACAGAGATATTGTATGAGCACTCTCTGTTTGCACTGTGCTCTGAAATAAATCTAGGAATTCTCTCACAGATCCTAGAATATCTGAAGCTTTGTATATCCTTATGAGTGACCCTAGATAACACCATACTGGCAAAAGAAATGAGGATAAAACTCATCTTACATGGCACAAGTCATGCCCCCTGCCCTTACCTCTCCTCCAGGTAGGCATACTGCTAGGAAATCTGGATAGGGGCAGTAGACATAAAACAAAAGCCAGGAAAGGTGAGAACAGCATTACAGGTTGCAGCTCACAGTGAGGTCAGCCTCAGGGAGCAGGTCAGTCTCTAACTTCTAGCACACTTTTTCATAAAAAACCTTGAAGAATACACCAGTCTGTTTCCTCAGACCACAGAGAACTGAACTAGACCAGTCCCCTGGGGCTACAGAAGTTATATGGCTAGCACTGGGCTCACCCTCTTTGTTAGTGCATACTATACTCAGTAAATATTGCAAGCCTGTGGAAAACATTATTATTCTAAAGGAAATAAAAGAATAAAAAAAGTCACGCATCTTTTAAGACAAAAGCTATCACCCCTTCTTAGATCCCCAACTCAGCTGAAGTCACTTGCTGCATCTCACCTTGCAGAAAATGCAGTCCAATATAATGATCATGCACACTAACAACACAACAAACAGAACCACAAAACCTTTCCATTCCTAATGAGTTGCAGAAATGGAAAAGCACTCTTTGAAATGTACTTACTGGTCGGACTTCCCCAGTAGTGTTGGTGTACTGACGGGCCAGACCAAAGTCTAACATGTAGCACTTCCTGTATGTTGAAGGTAAGCGGCCCATGGCAAAGTTGGACTGGACAAAGAAGGAAAGCAAAAAAGTCAAATTGATGCCAGCAGCTTGGATAAGAGTGGCCATTTGTTAGCAAAATTTCATCATGTAGTTCCACATGCCTCTGGTGGAAACAAGTCAAAGAGATTAATTTTAAGATGCACCTTAAGCATCATGATTAGAGAACCACTGCCTTGATAAGAAGTTCACTTTGCAGATAAGAGACTGTGGAATCTCAATATCACTAACATTCACATTAGCTTAGTTAAATTTCTGATGCTCTGAGAAAGAGCTACATTTAACACTGCTACTTCTGCAGTGAGAACTCCATGACTTGCATAACAGGATGGAGTTCTTGCAGACAAATGCTTCTGTTCACGATTCAGCTGCTAGCACGAATTATTCTGCCCTAACTTCCAGGATCTCCATCTACTGCATTGCATTGGCTAGATCTATCTGAACATTCAGGCACATAGAAACCACCAGGCTTGGTTCTTAGTAAATAAACCAATAACAAGTCAATGGAGCAGCTCCTTTTTTTTAATCTCAATCTTAAAGTTCTATCCTTTACCATAATGGGTGGCTGCTAAAGGATTTGTAGCCAATCACATCACTGACTGGTTTTCAGCTGAATCTGGTCAGCCAAAAGCAGCTGATTGTAAAAGGAACAAATGAATTTACTAGAAGGAAGTTGGTCTCAGGTATGGCATAGTAACAAGTTCTCAGGTCAAAAAGTGAAGAACAGTAGGAAGAAGACTGGCTCCTACAATTGGAATTGTAAAGAAAATTGCAAAGAAAAAGCACAGACTTGGAATTACTATGTTTTGCCTAGGCTGATGACAAACAGTGTGACTGCATTTCTGACACTGGAAACTGCTCCAATTCTTCTAGCAATCACTCATATAGCATTACAAGCATGATTTAGCTAAGTCGAATATATTAATTAACGTTTATTCAAGTAATGTGTCACAGAACAAGACTCCCTTTCTGAACAACTTTTACAGTGATAATTGGCTGGACTCTAAAGGACTATTCAGAACTAGACTGCTGCATCATGGGATCTTGTGCAAGTATGACTGACAGCTACCAACCCACCACAGAGCAGCCTCTGCGAATAAAAGCTGGTTTGCTATCCACTTAAAGGAAGGACAATACTATATTACTATTCTGTACCTATAGAAAATAGCCATCATGTCAGACAGTGGGAGTGTGCAAGGAAGCCTAAATGTATCTTCTGAGACCTGCCCATACTCAGGCTGTCTTTACTTACTCAAGCAGAACAGACAGACATAAAACCAAAAAGAAAATTTCCAAACCAACGTACAGGCTTGATGTCACGATGCAGGAATCCCACAGAGTGAATGGCTTCTATTGATTCCAGAATCTGTTTGCCCAATCGCAGTGTTGTGCTCAGTGTGAAAGTCCCTCGAGGCTGACTCCTTCTGAGATCTGCAAGATTTCGACCCTGAAACAGTCAATAGAACACTTAAACCATCATAGGAAAGCAGAGCCTTTCACAGCTGTGAGTTCGAACATGCAACCCTAAAAAAGCAGATATCCTGCTCAGAGAGGAGCTCACTTCCTGTGTGCTTTATTTTTTGTGTAAGATCTTCCAGATCTTTTCATTTTAGTTTTTAAGTGATATACTTGCTGATACGAAGATACCAGATTGTTATCTTGGGAAGTCAACTGGTCACTGTTTGTGTATTAGGCATAAATTTGTGTATTTAGCACTGCCTCAGATTGTAGAGACCAGCATCTCCTTATTGTGAAACCCAGACTATACAGAAGCTGATTCAAGAACAACCTCTGCCTGTTCTCTGAGCCATCTAAAGATTAAAGCAGTACAAATTTGACAAGGAGGTCATGATGCGGCAGTTTCCTCAGAAACTTCCTAGCACACATTGTCTTGTTCAAGTTCAAGCCAGCATTGTTGTGGCAACATCACAATAGGGAAAGTTGTCTACTAAGAGAATCATACCCAAAATCAGGAGAGGAGGATTTTTCCACTGACTTACAAAACAAACTGCTCCAGTTAATTAAATTTCTGAGGAAAAACAAAAGGCTTACCAGCTATGCATGAAAACAAAGACAATTTAGGAAAGAAAAAGGGAAAAATGACAGAGTAAATGCAAAAAAAATCCCAGTTTTCTTTGATGTCTGGCATCTCTCAGTTTTGCCTATAACTCTTCAGCTTTGTAAAGAGAAGATACTCGAATATACTCAATGGCAGAGTGCTGCTTTAACCCATAGAACTAATGCATTTACCAACTCATTAAAAACATTAGGAACAAGAACCTGCTGTTTCAGAGAACATTCACAAAGAACAAAAGCTATAGGGACATGCTGTTCATTACTATGCTTTGGAATCTCTTGATTCTGCTTCTGTGAAGACATACATAGAAGACATCTAGCATCTATAGAAGACATATGAATTCAAGCAAAACCCCCAATAGCAAATATATAAAAGATTCCAAACAGTTGAGGGACAACACAGATTGCTCTCCAAATGCCATCTCTTCATCCACTTATTTCCAGTTCTCAAGTTATTTACAGGCATAAAGGTGCCAGCTGGCTCACGTAGCATATGACAAGTCCCTCAAATTGTTTTGAGCCATATTTCACTTCAAGCTCTGGACCCTTGAAGAATCACACCTGATACAAGCCAAGCCACAGCAGTTCACCCATGTTTGCTCTTTAACATGAACAAAATCAAACTAAACCACCCCTCTAGTGCTTATCTTCTTGAATTTCTGACACTTCACTAGAGGCAGAACAGCTTTGTCATTGCTGTGATGAAACATCCAAGTTACTGAATTGACAGAAGATCTTGCTTTCCACTGTAAAGCTGTTCCTTGAACACCAGCTCTTTTATCCAATAGTAACACGGAAAGCAAGGCTCATTTTTTTTCAGAGCTGCACACTGAAATGTGCCATAAGTTTCCCCAGCTGCTGCTGCTGCTACCAGGAAAAGATACAAAATTAGCATTATTTTCCAAATAAACACCATCAGGCTGATTATGGAACAGTGCAGATGCAATGACTTGCAAAGCTTGAGAATGGAAACCTCAGTCCTGGTGACTGAAGAGAAAGGGAGAACTGCCGTACACAAGAGTCAGAGGGACACGTGATAAACCATGTCTCAGCAGGTCTTGGAGTCGAAGGAGAATTTTAGCTTGAAAAGTGATGGTGCAGAACTATCTAATGCCTTATGTATCAACGTCTTCATCTGCAAATAATGAAATTATTTTTATCTCTGCCTACTCTACGAGCTTGGTTACACAGTCAAGAAAAAATCAGAAAGTGAGCGAATCCATACAGAGAAATTTCTTTCCAAGATAAAGTCCCTTTTGTCAGGCTTGGTAAGGATAGGATTGGGAGGATAGAAGCCTTGTTCTTCCATGAGCACCAGCTAGCCCTTTCATGAATCATACATATATTCATACTCACACTGCAGCAGCAGGAGTAGACAGGGCTGTTTAAAGGATTTTTATCTATCCATGACAGCAGTTGGGATGCCAACAGTACATAAAAGGCAAACCCAAGCATGAGGAGTTTACTGGGTTTATACAACTGTCTTGCCAAGCAGAAATACAAAAGAATAATTTATTTTTATTTTATTTTAAAGAAGTACTGGGATCTTCTGGTACCTGTTTTACTGCACCTATTGTCTAGCAGTGCAGTCACCATGTGGTAGCTACCCAAGTATTTGCTCTTACTGACTTGATGTCAGCAGTGTTCAATCAGGAGTAAACATTTTCACTGCAGAAGCTGAGTTACTGCTGAGTTTGGTAGAGACATGGGAGCCAGAGATTATGGCCTTTCATAGAGAAACTGTGCTGCTGCTATGACACCACTGCTCTCACTCTGAGCTCTGATACAAGACATATTTTGAATGCTGCATCACAGCTCGCTATGAGGTATTTCAAAGAGCTGCCACTGCTGCACAATGCTGTAGGTTGCTCCTGTGAGCATTCTGAATTGAGTGCTTTCCCCAGAAAATTGACAGAAAGCCATCTTAAACAGAAAAGCAGAGCTATGAAATATTTTAGCACATATTGACGACTGGAGCCATCCCAAGGGATATCAGAGCAACTCCAGCCCTTCTTCCTTCTTCCCCGTCTTCCATTCCACCCTCTCTCTGTGTACAACCAAGTCTTTACATCAGTACTTGAACTTATTCTCTCCAGTGATGCTATTCTCTCTCGGACAGATAGGAGAGGCGAAGAATAGAACTCACCTGAAGCTGCATGACCACATAATTAAACTTTTCATTTCTTCCACAGCCAATAAATCTGCAAACATGATCCTTCCCTGAAAAGAAACAGAAATGAACAGAATAGAACACAAGATAACAATCCTGTGATCATGATGTTTAGAGAAATGGTTTCTGACTCAGGGCTGGTACCCATAAAGTAGTATCAGGTAAGGAGTTCTGCATAACAAACTGAGCTCAATTAGTTGCACCAACTTTAATCAGTACAAGCTGACTTGTCACACCACCACCACACTTACCTACTAGCACTGCTTACCCTGAAACAGCTAATCTAATGCTACCTTGACATGAACAAACCCTAATTTTTATAGTCAGAGACATCTGGAAAGGAGAGATATTTATGGAAATACTCCATTGAAACATTAAAGCAATTTCATAACAACAGAAGGAAAAAAATCAGGGCCATTCAGTGTCAAGTTCTGGCATGATGTTAGTACAAACTACACCTATTCAGGCAAAATCAAACTAACTCAGCCACCCCACAATACTCAGCTGGTCCTCGGGGGGGGTGAGGGGAGCGGAGGCTTTGGTTTCAGACCCTGACCTGTAATGGATTTGTGATGGTTTGCTCTCTGTATTCTTGGAAGGGGAAGGATGGTGCATGAACTCCCCTAATAGCAGACTGCTGATAACAGAGTAAAGGTTGATGCACACCACAATGGTGAACTCTTGGTTCCTGCTGGGGTTTCTAAGTGAGAATCATTGTATAACTTTGCCCTATGTTTCTTGGTGGCACTTGAACAATGGTGATTTGAATTAGTTTTTAAACCAAAGCTTATTGTTTGATAATTCCTAGTTTTAAGGAAAAAAAAGGAAGAATGTGAACACACAGAGTAATGAGTAACTGCACTGCCTGTAACACTCTTAGGGCTATGCTACTGTTGTCACTGTGTGTACCACAGGCCTGGGGCATCAGAAATTGCTGGGGACAGCAAGACATGACAGAATAGGGACGTGGAGGGCAGCAGGAGACAAAGAAGCAGCTTTCTCACTGGAGAATCAGAGTTTTGACCAGAGCAGTGCACACAGCTGTCGAATATGGAGCTTCATTCCAGGACACTCAGTAAGAGCATCAAGAGCCTGCCCTTAGGGCCCAGCAGCATCCCACACCAGAAAAACCATACTCTGTCCTACCACAAAGAGATAACAGAGCTGCTGGCAACTGGAACTGGAGGAATAGAGACCCTGACTGCTCCTTAATACCTTTGGAAGAACAGTTTTCAAACAAACAAACAAATACACACCAGTCCTAGTATCCACCTATATCTGGTTAGATGAACAAGGTTATGTATGTGAAGATCCTTCATGACTCTGTCATGGACATTATCCAGTCTCAGGACTGAATGTGCAAGACCATGCTGAAGCCACCAAGGAATGTCTCAAACCATCATATTTCAGGAAAAGATATTTAGAGATTAGGAAAGTACTCTCTTCAGTATATCACAGAATCTTCTGCGTTGGAAAGGACCCACAAGGATCATTGAGTACAACTCTTGGCCCTGCACAGGGCCATCCTCAATATTCACACCATGTGCCTAAGAGCATTGTCCAAATACTTCTTGGTCTCTGTCAAACTTGGTGCTGTGACCACTTCCCTGGGGAGCCTGTTCCAGTGCCCAGCCACTCTCTGGGAGAAAAACCTTTCCCTAATCTCCAACCTAAGTCTCCTGTGACACAACTCCATTCCCTCTGGTCCTGTCAATGGTCACCAGAGAGAAGAGATCAGCACCTGCTCCTCTGCTTTCCCTCACAGGAAGTTGTAACTGCAGTGAGGTCTCCCTTCAGTCTCCTCCAGGGTGGACAGACCAAGTGCCCTCAGCTGCTCCTCACATGGCTTCCCCTCAAGGCCCTTCACCATCCTCATTGCCTTCCTTTGGACACTCCCTAACAGTTTCGTATCTTTTTTTATATTACAGTGCCCAAAACTGCCCCCAGCACTCCAGGTGAGGCTGCCTCAGCTCAGAGCAGAGCAGGACAATCCCCTCCCTTGCCTGGCTGGCCATGCTGTGCCTGATGCTCCCCCAGGACACAGGTGGCCCTCTTGGCTGCCAGGGCACTGCTGACTCATGTTCAACTTGCCATCAACCAGGATCCCCAGGTCCCTTTCCATAGCACTGCTTTCCAGCATTTCATTCCCCAGTTTGTATATCCAAGGTTGCCCCAGCTCTTCAGCTGTTTTTCAGTACCTCCCAGAATCATCTTCTCCATATCTCCACCAGGCACTGAAGTGAGACTAAGAGGCTTGTAGTCTCTGAGGTCCTCCTTCTTCTCCTTCTTGAAAATCAGGTCAATATTCACCATCTTCCAGTCATCTGGGACCTCTCTGGATTCCCAAGATCACTCAAAAATCATTGAGAGAGGTTTTGTAATGACATCAGCTGGCTCTTTGAGGATTCTTGGATGAATCCCATTAGGCCCCATAGATTTTTAGGGATCCAGCTGGAGCAGCAGACTGCACAATTTCAGGGTCAACTGGGAACTGATCATTCTCACAGTCAAGGTCCTCCAAGCTCAGGGCACTGAGACCCCCTTGGTCCATCAGCCATATTGAAGACAGAGACAAAGAATGCATTAAACACCTCTGCCTTGTCCCTGTCTCTGTTTGTGAGGTGACCATCCCCATCCTGTAATGGGCTGATGTTATTTTTACACTGCCTATTGCCATTAAGATATTTGAAAAAAGCCCTCTTTTCATTGTTCCTCACAATTCTGCGCAGCTTCAACTCAGCAGAGTTTCGGCTGTATGAATTTTCTCCCTACAATGGCAAGCAGCATTTCTGTCTTTTTCCCATGTCACCTGACCTTGCTCCCATTGGGCACATGCTCTTCCTTGATGCTGTTTCTCACATACCAGGCCCCCAGCTTGCATGTGTCTACAGATACTGGGTGCCACTGGTTTTCTGCTGTTGACAAGCTCATTGCAAATTCAGTGTTGATTTTGACAGACAGGTTTTTGTTTTTCTGAGGAAATCCCTTGAGATACTTTGTGGATATAGAACACATCCTGGTGTGGGTATTACCAAGATGGAATGACCAGGAAGCCTCAGCTGTCCCATCCACATTCCTGCCGCGTGCCCTGCTAGGGATGGCTGTGCTGCCTGTCAATGGGAAGGGACCCTCAGAAGCAGGGTTGTGACTACAGAGATGCAGATATAACACATCCGGATAAACCTCAGAAAGAATCAGTTCTGTTTCTCAAGGATCTCATGACACTCCTGTGCTTCAGCAAACTGGCCACTCACATAGGTCACAGAGAAGATGGACAGGAGCAAGCCCATACTCATCCCAGCCATGATTCACAGATTTGCACAAACACACTGTGAGTTCCACTTTGCTTTGTTCACCTTTCAGAGCACCTGGGTACGGATATTGAGGCAAAAGCCAAAATACAGTGACTGTTTCTAGTGACAATGCAAGCTATTGTGTGGTAAAAAGGGTAAATTACTCATTTTTTTACTTGCTTTTATTGTTTCAAATAATTGCAAAGCACAGACACCATGTGCTTTTTGTTGCTGCAAAACTACGGACAAGAGCATTAAAAACCAACCCTCTGACAGGGAGAACCTGCCCACCTAAATCATTGATTTCAGTGAAACGGGAGGGGTAGTGTCCAATGATATGACTTAAGACATATCCTTGCTAATTTCTTACTGCCTCTTCTGATTTTGAGTGTATTTCTAAAATTTTTCAAAAAATCCGTTTCCTCCATAACACTATTGTTTTGTGGACCACAAAATTCTACAAAAAGAAAAAGCATTTTAGTTTTTATTACTTTTGAGAATTGTTTGCTTGTTTAGGATGACAACGTGTTTCTGCTTACTATAATTTTTGAAAATGATGAATGGACTGACAGTTGTTGATGACCTGCATACCCAAACTGACTTAATACTGAATCCTCCCTTCCAGTCTAAAATGGGGTAAACCTAACCTATTTGGTTTGGGAATTTAGGCTTTCCCTGGAACAGCTCTGCCATGCACTGTTTTGCAACACCAGGAAAATAGAAGAAAGGAGGTGAGGGAAAACTGTGCCCATTTCTGCATGAAACAGAAAGAATATAACAAAGTGTAGAAAAGGCAGGCCACATTTAGTAGTGGTGCATGCACAGCCAGCCAGTCATACAGGTGGGATAAATCCTGCAGCATCAAACCCTCAGGGTCCTGGCGGCATGCACTCATTTGCCACCTAAAGGAAGCACCAGGTTACAACTGTTTGCTCTCTTGGGACAGTTCATGCCATGCTGAAGTAACAGATGGAGGCTGACAGTCAGGTGTGACTTTGGGATTCCTGCAGCTCAGTCTTGAGGCTGATCAGAACTATGATGCACACAAGAACAACCATGTTAATAACCTCCTGTGCAGATAGGATGATGGAACTGCCATTCCATCATGAACTTCCCTTTAAGGTAGCAGGAAATAGCCCTCTCTTCTCATACATGCCCTCCTCAAACACGGAGATCATAGCAGAGAGCAGCAAAGCATATTTTAACCCAGAAAAGAAAGAGGGGGGGAAATGGTTATTTTTCCAAGGTATATTTGGTATGGGAAATCTCATAACCATTTTACTGCACTAACTGCCAGATGACACTTGCTCCTTTGCTAGACTGCTCTGCTCAACAGTTGCCCAGATATTCCAGAGAGTCACAAGTTATATCATAGAAAATATGCTCTGTATCTGCATTTGTTTGTTACTAAAACAAAGCAAAGAACAGGGCAGTAGATAATAGTTTTGGCCAGTTAATTACCTAACATTGAAGGAATACATCAGCCCAATGTTCATAAGCACTGATTTGAGAAAAGTTTCAGAGTGTTTTATTTTGTTCACAGGCATTTAGTTAAGGCAAAATTTTTATGTTCAGCCATAGAAAAATATTCTTTCTACTGCAATCTTTTAACTACAGTGAATATAATAATGCTCCATATAATACGGGGTAAGAAATATTTCAGTCACTGAAATGGTCTTCATCGTCCTTGTTCTGAAGAAACTTAAAAATTACAGTCAATAATTATGTTCTCATGTGTAAGAACTCCTTCAACCCTT